CTCCCACTCTGGAGCCATCCCAAACCCGCCTGGACGCCGTCCTGTGCCACTGCTGGAGGTGCCCCTGCTCTGGCAGGGGGTGGACTGGGGGAGCTCCAGAGGGCCCTTCCAGCCCTCACCAGTCTGGGATTCTGTGTGATTTTCATTTCTTTCACAAAGGCCTTACTTTCAGTAGCTCTTGAAATGGTTGGTTATCAGTTGTCATGCTTAAGAAGTGCTTGGTTTAGTCACAGCAGCTTGTCCAGATGCACAGACAATGCAATTTAATGCTGAACATCACACAAGTGAAACTGGACTGAGAAACATCCATAATAACCTGAGATATGTTAAGGGAGACAGTGTGTGTCACCAAAAATTCCACTTCGTGTCCAATTGGGATCGGCTCCTGAAGAAGCGAAGATAAGCAAGAGCCTCATACAGGAACAGGCTGTGTCCACAGCGACTGGGTCTCGAACATCAAACTCACACCTTGCCAAGAAGCTCTGCAGCACCAAACACAGACACAGTTCCACCAATGACTACGTTTAGTCTTCCATTGCACCGCCTTTGAGAGGCCAGATGTCATCTGTGCGAGAACACAAAAAACAGCCACGAGAGCAGTGGGATGGGCTGCACATCTTTGGTGCGCCACCTCTGCCTTCCTATAGCCCAGAGGGCAGCGTGTAAAATATCAGTCCTTTTGCAGGTGCTACTTTCAACTGTTACATACTTATCCCTGTAAACTGTCTTTGACTTCGAGGCTAGAAAACATAGAGCTGTGTTTTAAAGAAATGAAACTTCTTCCTTACATTATTTCTGCTGTACTTAAATTTTCATTTCATATGAAGTTCCAATAATACTGACAAAAGTAATGCAAAACTATGGATCAAGTTCTCACTTGCCCATTTGCTTTTTGGACTCACAACAACATATATTAGGTACTAAGGGTCCTCTTGCAGTCATCCCTATTTTCCAGCTTCAAAGTAAAGCAACTTATTCTCAGACTACTTAAAGTTTAATTCTTTTAATCTAAGTTTCTGCTGCATTGCACAGCTGTAGCTTTTACTGCTATCCAATATTCAGACAGAATGCTTTCTTACAAATGAGGTTACTCTAGTTTGTAACACAAAGCAGTCCTGTCACCCTGACTGTTGGCGACCAACATCCCCCTGTTCCACTCCCCAGTTCCTCCCCTCTCCTGCCTCAAATTATTTTTGTCCAAATGTAATGTGAAACATGAAAGGGCACTTAAGCCAAGAACAGTTGTGCAAACACCTGGAACAGCCCTCATGCTTTCAGTATGAAATTTCAGTTTCTTCTCCATCACTCCGACTGAAGTGTTTTTAGACTGTGATGTCAGAACAAAAGGATGAGGGCAAGAGCCCTGCTGTTGTATTTGAAGTTAGCTCCTGCAAAGTTAATGTCTTGCCTCAGGAATTCCTGTGGTAAAACAGAATCTGCACCTTTTTCACCCTGTTTGTGTCTCACAGCGCTTCACGAACACTAGACACACCACTTGCAATGCACCCAACTTCACTCCGGCTGAGCTTTTTGAATGCCAACCAGAAGATACTGCATTAGTTTCATTCTGACATCAAGCCACCGCCACCTGCATTCCCTACAGAGGCTGCAGATTCTGCTCAAGCAGCTCTGGCCCTACAAACCCTTCTACCTCGAGAGAGTCTGCAACATCAAGTGCTCCCAGAAAGAAGCTGCTCAAACATCCAGCAGTGATATTGGATAATCCACTAAAGTGCTGTTGGATTAGTGCATTAAGGTGGTATATGGATGAGACACCAAGAGACCCGATCTCTTAAAACTGCTGTAGTCTCAAATTCCTTAAGGTCCAGATACTATCCCCTCCCCACTGAGATCCAAAGTAAAAAAGGGTCAGTGAGCTGCATCGCACTTTAATTGCACCAATACAGTTAAATATTAAATGCAGAAAGCAACTCTACACAGCAAACAGAAAACAAGCATTTACATAGCAAATCTGTAAGATGTACAGAACATTTAGTTTTAACCCAGTTGCTTATACATTAATATCCCACTGCAGTTTTTGGTGTTTAAATTATTTTAAATGGAAAACAAAATGAACATTGCCAGGTTCATGTAGAATTGGCAAGTTATTGAGAAACAAACTTTCCTCCCTCATAAGCAAACACTGATGGGGGGCCACGGGGAGGACAGGACAGCTTAGGGCGTTTTCATACCAGGAGAAATGCATTGGCCATTACTCATCTACGAGCATGGGTAGAAACGAGCAACACTTTTCTGAATATACTTGACTCCCCCCCTCCCCACAAAGGGGCATATCCTGTTATCCTGCCAGGATAGTTATCCCAGGGGAGCTAACACTACTGAGTTAGACACTGATCAGTTGGGGAAAGGCTATCCTCCCAAGCAGGGTCAGCATCAAGTGGAGACGACAAGTCACTGAAGGGCGACAGGGATCCTTCGTATCCAGAGTCACTACAGGCATCCAACAGATAGCTTGAGGCTGCAAGGCTACGATGAGAGGAAAGCAGATGAGAGATGCCCAGTTCAGGGATGAAGCTGTCTACAGGTTCCTCTTTCACAGATACGGGGATCTCGGGGACAGCTTTGTCTTCACATGGAGAGAGAGAGACTTCCTCAATTTTCACTAGCATATTGGTTTGGTTGCCCATTTTAACAGGAAACTCCAGTATCAGGGGCTTTGTGTACACATGATCAAACCTTATCAGTTCATTAATGGCCTCCAGCTTAGCTGATGAGGACCCCAAAGAGGGAGAGGGGGAGGTTGGTATGGTACTTGATTCTCCACAGATCTCTTCCTCCAGCTTCTCCAGGCACGTTGACTCTGAATCACCACATTTGAGAAACATCTCTGGGTCCAGACTGTCCAGAAAGCCCAACAGGAGATCAGACTGCAGAATGAAATACTGTTTTAGTAAGACAGCCTACTACTGTTACAGAAAAAGATCAGTTGTGGCATCTATTAACACTCACCTGGAAGTTAAAGTATGCTCATGTGATCATAGAACTAGGAGTTTTACCAAGGACACCACCATCAGAACAGTTAACGCAATTATTTATCTGTCAGAAATTCTTTGCCTATTAACATTTTTGTAAGGGTACCAGCAATGCCCATGGAATTCTACATGCACTTGATTCTAATAAGGACTGCAAGTAACTCCAAGATCTTGGGCCCATGAGGTACAAACATCACACTACCTGCTGACACCACAGAGCAAGTACCAGAACCTGGCTTACACAGACCTGCCCAAGACCAAAGTTGGGGTGTTTGTTCTTTTTGTTGTTTGGGTTTTGTTTGTTTTTTTGTTTGTTTGTTTCTGGTTCTTTTTTTAAAAAAAAAAAGTGAAAGATGCCTGTCCTCACAGCTCTGGAAGTCATTCATAAGGGACAGGCTTTACATTTGAAGAGCTTTGCTAAGTGCCAACACATCAGCCAAATGATCACGTGTGTTTTCAACAACAGTAAAAGCACACTGCGCTTTTAGTATTTGTACACTTTTGCTCTAAGAGCCAAGAGACTGTTGCAGGCCATATCATCTCAGACTTTATGGAAACTAGACTTGAACAAGTTGCATGAACTCCTGTACTCACTGGATACAGCCCAACACAGCTGTTCTGAGCCACAGGTATAGCATTCCAAGACTTGGAAAACAAGCCAACTATGGGAAGTCATCAAGTGACTTTACATATAAAAGTTTCACCAGTCTTAAATCCACAGTGGTTCTGAATTTCATGGGCATTTTGGATAGGAGCGGATGCTCACCTCTGAGTCTGAAGAATCACTGCCATCAGAATCCACATGGAAGTTATCAGAAATGGTGACTGCTGGGCCTGCACCTGCTGCAGAGGAACACGTAGTCTGAGTGCTGCGGACTCAGCGGACCCGGTCACCAATCTAATCTCATCCACCTGCGATTCCTTTGCACCCTGCGGCAAGGAAAAAAATCCAGTCAGTCACCACAAATGTGCTGGCAGACAGTATATAATCCTGATGATTTTCTTCCTGCAAAGGCTTCCAACATTAGATTCTCCAGAGGCTCATGCAGTGGGAACCTGAAGATAATACTGCTTCCAAAGCTGGCTCAAACTTCTACATATTTGCAGGTTTGTTTTATTCACCACCTTTAAACGACAGCCTGGCCTGCTCCACTATACCCCCTGTTCTTTGGAGACAACTGTACGCGACTAACAGTTACCATTTCATTTCTAGAACATGATGTAGAAAAGCAGATTAAATAACCTTAAAACAGTGTGGAGCTCATCAGCTGGCTACCTCCCACCGCACCAGAGGCGCCCACTTCAGACGCTGTAACTGTGCGGTCTGCGGGAACGCCTCCGTTCGGAGGACAAGCATGTTTCTGGCCCCCGAAGTGTCCCTCTCCACAGCCGGACCGTGCCAGCCCCGGCACGGGGGGGTCGCTCCTCCCGCCCGCCCCGGGCAGTAGGTGCCTTTCCCCACGCAGCCCCGTTCTCGGCAGGACGGCAGAGCCG